GCATGCAAAGAGCGCAAACCTCTATCAAGGCAGCTCACTCTCTTGGCAATACTTTTCACTGAACAGTGTTGTATTTTCTTTATATTTGTTTTCTTTGTTCTTTTTAAATATTGAGAAGTTTGTGATGCAGTCAGAAAACATGTGTCTTTTGTTATTTGCCTTGTTGAAACCCATTTTAAAATACTTCACATAAGTACCAAGGACTACATCCTTGGTAACGATAGGCGATGACGGATGAGGAAGTGTGAACTAGTGCTGTGGTTTGGGTAAGGCCTCGAAGGGGACTGGCAATGGCTCCTGGGCCGGGCAGATCCCCATGTACTAACGAGAAGTGAATGAAGGAAAGGAAGAGAGGAGAAGAGAGGGAACAGGGGGGGGGGAAGGGTGGGGCATGAAAATGAGAACAGCAGGTATTGGTGAAGGGGGGCCTGAGGCCAGAGGGGGCATGAAGGAGGAGTGGTCCCGCTCCTGAAATTCAGATGATATCTCCACGTATGTGGGAGAGGTCAAAGGTCAAATGTAATATGATTTATTTTTTTTTTTAATTCTTATACAGTACAGACAGTACACGGGAATCATAGTTTCTAATTTCTAAGACTTTTTGTCAATTTTTTGACCGATAAATCATCAAGCTGACCTCGAAGACCTTGGTTCGATGTAAGGTAAATTATGATGAATTGTTAACATGACCCCACTCTGCACTCTGACTCTGCACCCCTACTTAGTTTTCATTCAAAACTTTTTAAGATATCATGTTTACAGAGAGAATCCTACCAAAAACCTCACCTCCTTGGCGGAGTTAATATAGTTCTGCCAGGCAGCTACATTTTTCTGGTGGCTTGTATGTGCTGACAAAGTTTTATTAAACATTGTTAAGAAATAACAAGGATTAAAAGATACGTTGAAATATGACTCATTTTCCACAAATTTCAAACTATTCCAATAAATCGTTCTAGGGAAGCATCGTCCAAAACCCCAGGTTGTGAAATTGGATTGTGGTGTAGATTTCTGGGAACTGGACGAGCAGTGCATCTTCTCTTTGGAGTAGAAGGCCAAATGATTGGTTTTCTTATATGAACTGTCTAATTTCCAATTGCAAGGGCCCCATTAAAAAGCAGCTGCATACCATTATGACTGTTATTCTCATTGGCATAGTGAGATTGTGAGATTATTGCTGAGAAAAAAGCCCCAAAACCAAACCAAACCCACAAATCAACCCTCAACCTATCACCATCTCTCAATTATCAGAATCTAGGGTTTATTCTTTTCCTTATCTGTCATGCAGGAAAAGTGTCCATGTGGATTCCAGCATGGATTCAACTTTAGCAGCAATTTCCTCAGGCATATAAGCAGACAGATACTGAGAGCAAGAGAGAATAAGTGGAAAGACTGTAAAAACAACTGACAGACGAGGGTTTGAAGGCTCGAGAAGGAATGAAGCACAAATCTCCTTTTCTGTTTATACTCCCATAGCATAAGTTCACATATTAGTCAGACATATCCTGTCATTGGGGAAATAATAAGTCATCCAGTTGAGCGGCTAGAATCAAGACCAAACATTTATTTCTCTAAATGTCTGCAGCACTGATCTAGCGTGTCTGATGTTGATCGGTTGCCATTTTTCCACGTGGATTCAATGTAATTCATAGAAACTAAATACGATGTTTGACAAAAGTACATTTGCTTCCATGGTACTGACAACTCTTGCGTGCACGATGCACTCAGATATCTTGCATTTGCTCTGGTGCACACTTGGCATTCATCCGTGCAGCCAAATAGGATCAACCATATCCTGTTTTTCACTTTCACCCTTATTGAACGGGCTCATTATCCTCTCAGTTTCCCGACTTGCAATCCCGTATTTGCTATCCAAAACTGAGGGGCCTTTATTTATCCCTCCTTCAAGTATTTTGTTTTTAGTTCTGTCTGTGATTTTGCTTGGAAAGCCTTCACATCAAATGGTTTGAAACTACTGGCAGTACACTCAAAGTGTGCTATTCCTGGGAAAATACAACATAAAATGGTAATAATGTATTTGTACGATATTTATCTTTTCCAGTTTGTGCAATTAATGTGATTAAATATTTGATTTCCTGTTACATAATTTTCCAAATACAGCTAGAGTCTCTTTTTTGTTGCTTACTAATGATGTGCACTTTTCTTTGAGCTTTTTATTTATGTATTTCTTGAGTTTGTACTCTTCTCAGTCTTACAAATGACCACTCAAGAATTAAATAATCTTCGATTTACTCTTGGATTATATGTTTCTCTTCATCATAGACCTACATGAGAGTTCAGCAGGTTTTTTTTATCTTCGTAACAAAACAAGCAGGAGTTCAAACACAAAACCCATACAATCATTTTATTACTTGTGCCGTTTCATTTAGCTTTTCTCTCTTTTTTAGGTTCAGATATTCTTCCTCATTTGTTTAATTGTCTGGGAAAATGAAAGAAAAAATAGCTTCTGACTATGACTATTTCAGTGTTTCCATCATATGAGGCAGATCTGTGAGACTCACTGAAACTTTGGTAATTATGTTGCCATCTATTGGAGTTCTGCTGCAAAAACAAGTGAGCCCCAAAATGTTCAATCACGCAGCCATTAATGTTTCACAATTAAAAACAAACCTTGTGCGCAAAGGTGCAAGCTGAATCTCTTACATGCTATTTATGGCCAAGCCTTCCTTGTAAAAAAAAAAAAAAAAAAAAAGACTTGGCTTTTGTGTGCGGAAATAAGTGGTGAACATTTACCTTCACTGGAGCTAAAGAACAACTCTGACTGCAGGTTTGGCTGCATTTTATTAAGCAATTCCCCATGCACTGTTTTTTTTTTTTCTTGTATCAACATGTATTGTAACATATCCATGCCACTGCGGTGTCATCAGAATTATTTCCAATGAAACTGATGTGTTCACACATTCAGCTGTGCAACAGGAGTGTGTATGACTGTGCATTCCATTTTTTCCCCCAATACTTCGCCAAATTATAAACGTGTGCTACATGTATTCACGACGTGATTGTGCATTTGTCAGTGGGAAATAGTGTTAGATTTCTAATCAGCGACTTACAAAGAGCTCTCTGCCTGTGAGATTCCATCATTCGTAATTTGTGGACAGTATTTATCAGTATTAATAATACAAATATAAACTTCTCCTTATATAATCAACTTCACAGTCACTCAGTGTCCTTCTACACTTGCTTAAAAACCTTTGAAGAACAACACAAGTACCCCATACCCGAGTGTATCTAAAATACATTTTAATCTTGCTGAAACTTGTTTTCACAATATTGTTTACAATATTAATTGGTCTTCATTTTCTGCATCCTCGCTCGGGTCTTCTTTATTGTCTCTAAACAGAAACTGTACAATCATGTTCATGTAAATTGTTCTACATCAAGGCACAAGACAACAGCCGTTGTGGGGGGGGGCCTTGGGTATGCTGATCTTTAATGGCGTCCCTCTGGCACACAGGAAAAAAGGATACCCTCGGGAGGAAAGGTTATTATAAGCAATGTAGAAGTATGTATCTTAAATCGGGAGGTGAGGGAGTGGGGAGTGGGTCTGGGGTTGGGTTGGCATGGAAGAAATGTGCTCTGACGACGTGATAAGCGGAAAAGAATAAAGTGATACCACTGCTGCTTTCATTTTATTTTCCAATGATACGGAAATATAAAAAAGAGGAATGATTAGGACTTTTTTTCTTTCTTCAGGAGTTCATTTGTTCATGTACATAAAGTAAAGTGCCTTTTTTTTTTCTTTTTTTTTCTTATTTGCCAAAAGCAAAAGGCTTCACTAACAGGATGAAAATTAGGAGATGTCCCGTGGGGTCTTTTTTTTTTTTCCCTGTTCCTGGAGGAATGTGAAAGAGTGGATAAAGGGCCAGTTCAGTGTTAAATTTCTGGTCAATTTTGTTTTTCTTGATTTATCTTCTCAGGTTATTTCTGATGTTTTCTCGTCAGGTTCTCAACCCCTGAAAGACAGAAATGAACGAGACAGAAAAAAGAAAAAGGATGTAAATTTAAGCTGGCTGTTTGCGTCCGTGTGTAAGTTGGACAGTCGGAAATTTTTATCAATTTGTGAAATCAAAAAAAAAAATGTTGTAAGTCTGAGATTCTTGAAACCAAAGGAAATCTATAAAAAAAGTCAGGATTGAAAAGGTGTTATTCACCATTTCCCAGATGGGAACGCTCACATCTGGATGCTTCTCCTCCGCCTGCCGAAAGCCTTGGCGCCGACATTGGTGGGGACGAAGTTGCTGTTACCCATTCCTCCCGACCGGCTGAGGAAGTCCGCCAGACGGTGAGTCACGCAGGTTGCCGTGTTGCAGCCTCGCTTCTGTGCTGTAACGCTGCTTCAGGAGAGCAGAAAGGGGCTTAACGAAAAGATTGGGGCACTGCCATCCATACAATAATGTAAGACACAGCTATACACATTAACACTAACATCAAAGAACTGAAAATACATCACGTTTGGATTTACAGCTTAAAAACAGAATGCATCTGAGTGTTTGTCTTACCTTTGGACTCGGTGACAGCTTCAGACAAAATTTTAAAGGCTCTAAAACTCTTATTTAGGCCCATCATTTAAAATGGCCATTGACTGTCTGCATAGGTGGCTACATGTTTGTTTTAGAGTCCCTAAGAATGAAAATGACCTAAGCCTTCCTGGTAGAAAAATACGTTTATTGACCAACAAACATGGTGTCGCATGAGTGGATCATTTATTAACGTTTAGATTAAGTGATCGCTCTCAACTCTTGAGTTTCAGGGGCTTTGAAATGCCATCAAATTACTCCACATACAGTACACAGAGATGGATGTATGAATTGGCTCCTGAATTACACTTGTGAAAATCGTCTGAGATTACAGGGACAAATCATTCTCTGCCAAAAGAAATATGGGGGGGAAGAGGGGGAGAAAAAGAACTGAAAAACTGCAGTTCAAAGTCATAATCTTCATGTCAATCAAGCAGGTAATATCAGCATGCACGTCCCATTCCAGAAAGAAACTGGGATGAGGAGAGGAAGATGACAGAAGAGAAGGACGGGGGAAAGAATGACAAAGGAAGAGGAGATGCGGGAAAAGTAAAAGCGGGTTTAAGGGTGGATGAGGAGGAAGGGGTTTAGATGCTTTCAAACGTCTCGCCGTAGCTTGCATAGCTGTCGCTCTCAGGCGCACTGCGCTTCTTGCCGGGCGTTCCTGCTCCCACGTTCGTGCGAGGGAAAGTCTGCAACTTGTGCAGCTCCTGAGACAGTTTACCCAACACACAGGTGCTGAGGTTGGAGCAGCGCTTGGTTAAGGGCCTGTCCATGCTGTCGAGGAGGGGACACACAAAACACATGCATAGAACAGGCTCATAGATACGGGGAAAACATGCGCTCTGTATCTCTTAAGCTTTTTTTTTTTCTCTTTCCATTCACGCATCATTTCACTCACATGCATTTCTTTCTCATGCCATTGCAGGTATAAACAAAGTAAAAACATCCCAGGTCCTTACAGCATCATGCCACTCCCCCTGCCCTTCCCAACATTCAAAAACTTGTCATCCATCCCCTCATGCATCAGAACCTCCACCCCCACCCCAGTCAGCCTTTTACCCATAGAACAAACAGAAACCAGTTGCTTCCCACTGTCATGCAGCTCCACTTAATTGACATCATGCACACTTATTTGTTTTGTTAAGCATACAATGTTCACATGCCCGGCAGGCTGGTTCAAAATAGTAGTCTATCCACGCAAGTCAAAATCAAACGCATCCATGCGGGGGCAGGCTCATGACAGAGAATCGGGTTTCGTTTTTTGGGCTTTTTTTGGAGTCACATGTTAAAACTAAGATGTTATTCTTTGATCTGCCGAGAAGTACATACCTCCTGGCCTGACTGAACCCAAGTGGGAAACTAAAGAAATGTATTTCCAGCACATTAAAGTAAAAACAGGATTTGTTTCCTAAAAAATTGTTTTTTTTAATTTTACCTTTTTATTTAGTCCAAAACCAGTTTCACTTTCCAGTTTCTCATTAGTCAAATCCTTGGCTGGTGGTTTCTGTGCAGGGTAGAAATGTTAAACTAATTTTCAAAGGTTGAACTAAATAAGATTCATCTGTACCTGTTTCCCTCAGTTGCCTGCTGCTCCAGCTCCTCCGCCGTCATCTGCACAAACTCCTTCACAATGGCGTTGAGTAACCTTCGTGCTTCGTAGTCCGTGAGCGTGACTCGGTCTGACATGGACTCTAAACCCGGTCTGTGGTTAGAAGTGGAGTGGGGGGCGGGGGAGGTTTAGGGGTCAGAGTGGTTGAGGGGAGGGAAACGGCAATGAGATCAGCATTATTGGAAATGCTCCGCTAGGGTTACACCTGCAGTGAAAAAGGAGGGGTGGTGGGTTGAGTGGGGATGTTGGGGTGGGGTAAGGGACTGGTGGGGGCTGGGGGGGTAACAGAGACGTCACCACCTCCGAGAGGAATGACGTCTGAGTCGGAGGGCCCCTGGCCAAAGCTGGGGGAAACAATCTGCAGAAAGTGCCCCTTGTGAGAAAGAAGCTGATGTATAACCAGCTTTAGATTTATTACAAAATCAATAGCTTCATGGGAAAGGGGGGGCAGGAGGGGGAACTTGAGTGGGGACTCAAATTAATATATATCTATCTCTCTCTATATATAGAGAGAAAGATATATAGAAAGATATATGCATATATATAGATAAAAACTGAATTACATTTGTTGTGTTTCCTGTGCTTTTAATTTAAGTACAACGTACAACTTTATCCACTTATATTGGAAGTATTACAAACAATACATATATTTAAATAATATATGTATTTCATTTAAAACTGCCATAGATTAAGACTAACCAGAACAACTACAATGTTCTTTTCTGCATACACACATTTATTTAACCTATGTTGTTACTGTGGCGTTACTATACAACTTACACATCTTCCTCTATTTCTCCTGTTTAATAAAAAACATTTTATGTTTAAGTAAAAAAAAAAAAAATTTAACCTGCAGAGTCCAAGTTCTAAGATACTGTTTTTGCATAAACCCTGCCCATCTTTTCTACTGGTTGTTTGCGGTACTTCTGTTGAGTTGCAGAGAAAAAGCAACTTAACAGTGAGAAGTGTAAAAGGCAATTTCCGTGTGTCTCACCTGGCAGGCGCGGCTTGTGAGCAGTACATCTGGCAAATGACCAGGGCGTAGGCAACGAGGAAAGCAGAGATCTTCAACATAACCATGGTCCCCTACACGGCAAGAAAAACAAAAAACAAAACTCCACATCAGCTTCTTGTGCTTCCATTCACACTCACACACCACTGATACAAGAGCTCAAATCCCCTAAAAGTATAGCTACAAACCAGCATGCAACTAGAAACTGCCCTTGTCTAGTCTTCTTGTGTTGTCAGGAAGAAGGTGCAAAAAGTGTCATTCCCTGTGAGGCGAGCTTTAGTTCGCCTTACATCTGAGCTCACTGCTCTCAGCTCTTGTCCCCTGCTGAACAATGCTCCCCCGGCTCACACGCGCCTCCAAAACGGACTGTTCCTCCAAAATATCCAGCTGAGAGCAAAGAACAGGTAGTTCTCTCATGTCGTATGCTGCTGCTCCTGATGTGTGCCATGCCAGTGTGGAGTGTATGCATGCACGTGTGTGTGTGTGTGAGTGTGTGTAATGGTAGGAAGGGGTCCTACATTGTGCGATGTATGTATCACTTGCTAATGCTGGAAGAGGAGAAGTGAAGGGGGGGGGGGGACCTCCATGCTTGCCAGCTCCCTTGGGGACCAGTGCATTAGTGTAATGAGCTGCCAGCTCTCTCTCACTCACTCACACACACACACACACACGCAACCTCAAACACACACACACACACACACACTCAACCCTGATTTCTCCTGCCCATTTTCCTCTGTCACTTGCTCTTCTTTACTTAAGCTTCTTCTCATTTTCGAGTTCCTGTCTTCTCATTCACGCTTTCCTTCTGTTGAAGCAGCACACCGGACCTTCACAAAATGAGCAGGGGTAACCCGGTGGCCACACTCCATTCCCATAACCACCACTGTCACATCACCGTCTTACATAATGACTCTAGCTGCACATTGCATCTGACCAACACACACACACATGCCACCACCCTATAAGTAACAATTTCAGTCTAGTTGTAAAACTTCTAACACAACATCAAAAGTTGTCACTTACCTTCAGCGATAATCACCCAGCAAAATAAAAAATAAATATATATCTCTATGAAGCTCTATGCAAACCACAATAAAGTTGACTTTCTCTCAACTTAGTGAACAACTCTTGATTCTGTTGCATGCAGTGCCAACGCACCAGCCTATATACCCCACCACTTGGATTTGTGCATTGACTGTGTAGGTGTTTAATTATCTGATGCCAGCCAATCGCATTGCTCTGATGCTAAAGCGAGCCAATGGGATTCCTCCTCTCAGTGCTGGCTCACTAATAAGAGATATGGCTTTGCGTTTACGTCATTCCTCAGTCACTAAGTGCTCCATTCACAAAATCCACCAGTCATTTGGACCATTTGCTATCCCCAATTTGCATTGATGTCATTAATTAAATAGGAGGCAAAGCAAACTGGTGTCCGTGGAGAAGCATCACCAGCAATAAATATTTTAAGAACTTTCAAAAAAATGTTACAATTCATGCTATATCCCAAATGCCAAATCAATAAGCCCCCCCACATTCCCCCACAACTCCATCCAACCGTGTAAGCACTTGCAGGCGGGGCCATCTGCTGGGGATGGATGTATACTACAGTGACGCACTCTTAGGTTCTTCATTCATAACGCTGCTCAGATAACACCAGCTTCAGCACTACACCCAGCCCAGTGTAGACTATCTACAGTCAGCTTATGTAATCGAATCATCTTCTTATTGATTTGATTTGAGGCCATATCATCTGCTTCGCTAGAACTTATAGAGTCATGGCACTTTGCATATCAACGTTTCTGTTTAAGTACTTTCAGTCTACAAAGCAACTGTGCAATTGTTATCTTATCCAATTCAATCTGTTATCAGTATGATTCACTTAAAACATGGTCCCACTCTCACAAAAGCTTCTGCTTGTGCTCTGTTTGCAGTACAACTCGAGCTAAGTATGACAACTTCCCTTCCCACAACAGTGAAACATCAAAGTGTATTGAGTTAATAAAAGTGATACCACAGTCACTTAATGATCGTTGCTGCCCGGGCCTCCTCCCACACACTGAGCAAACGAGTTGTCCTCTGTAAAGACCAAATCGATGACAGACTCCGACAAGAGCCGTTTCTCAAAAGCAATTACACAACTGTTTGCCGTGGACCATCCTCTCAATTCCCTTCCTTTTCATTAGTGCACAGGCTGTGTGTTTTTGTGTGTTGTGTTCACTCCTATTTTACTGCACATACCAAAACCTTTTTTATTTATGTGTCTGTTTGAAATGAATGCATATCTGTCTGTGTGCACTCACAAGCACTGCATAGTGGACAAAATGAATGGGCGTCCAGTAGGGGTGTGTGTGTGTGTGTGTAAGATTATCTGTCGGACTAAAGAAGGGGAGGGTTTGCCTCTCCATGTCTGCGTCATAGAGGAACCCCATTAGGCAGGATGAGCCTTTTAGTGCTATTGAGCCACAAGACTCAGCCATGTCAGACGTTAAATCAGAGCTGAATAGACAGCTGCCTGGTCTCAAGCCACATCCGTGCACCTGCATTGCTACCTGCATAACTCATGCGGTGATGGAAGAATACTGGGAGTTAGCAGGCACTCTCAGATCAGCGTCACTTATTTTACCTTCCTTTGAGTGTTTATTTCTGATGTACACTGGGTCACGGAAAAGTTTAAATGAGTTGCTATTGAGGTGAGTAAAAACAAAATCTTTAACCATCCCTTAGTAAGACGGCTTCTGACCCCACCACCACCCCCACCCCGAGCTATACACATATTTCAACTGCTGCTTTTAAAGGGAGCCACGTAAAATGGAGCATTATAACATTCATGGAGCTAGAATTTGTTGCGAGATAAATGAATTTTCCCACATGCCCCTCGAGTGCACAGACATTAAAAGAATGCTCCAAATGGACTCAGGGAGGACTAGAAAAAGGATTATCTGAGGTGTCCACAGGTGTAGGACAGAACAGGTCAACAAGGGAGTATAATCACAGTCTTACTTTAGTTATTTAATGCTTTTGGATAACTGAGGAGCTTAAATATGTCAATAAACATATGAGTGTGTGAAAGTGTGCAAAGAAAACACACACACACACACACACACACAGAGAGAGAGAGAGAGAGAGAAAACAAATGATTAGGAAAAAATCTGTTTATTAAGATGATTATTTGTCCACTGTAAGCACTTGTGTGTTTGTACGTCTCTCTGCCCTTTAAAAATGGACTCGACAAAGAGAGCATGGAGCAGCTGTGTCATGGTTAAAAATAAAGGTTTTTATAGGTGCCCTTTTTTAGTTTTCACCTGACATCATATGGTTTAAACACTCAGTGGCCACTTTGTTAAGTACATCTGTTTAACTGCTACTGACAACAGCTGTCTTTATTCAAGTAGACATGGTCAAGATTGCCTGATGTTCAAATTGTGCTTGGAATGGAAATAAATGTAAAGTACTTTGAATGTAATGAGCTATTTATCAGCAGTTCACATACTGATGATCTGCTGAGAATTTCCCACACAACCATCTCTAGTGTTTATAGAGCAGGGTCAGATTTAGCTGCAAAGTGTGATGGTTGCTTGAGGAACCAAATGCAGACTGCACCAGACGAAGGTGAAGCTGAGTGTTTATTGCTGAGCTGATGAAAGCATTTAAGTCCAAAAACAGAAAGAAATAACTGGAAAACATTAGTGAGAGCACAACTACATGGGGCAACTAGACAAAGGACAGGAGGAGACTTAGACACAAGAGGTAATAAGGGAAGAGGAGATTCATTAAAGTGTTGCATTCAAAAGAAACTTAATTAGTCGGATGACCTATTGCAGTGTCTAAGAATAATTCAGGATGAATAATCACGGATTTCAATATGATGAACTAGTTTTAGAGTGGACACTTAAGTTATCAATGATCAAAGGCTCAGTCATGCTGACCACAACTTTCTTAAGTAAGTTAACCAATGATTTGCAGCAAAGCAGATAAGAGGAGAAACATGCACAGTGTTGTTTCAGAGGCCATTCACACAGACATCAAGTGCTTAAAGTAGCATTATTCAGTACAGAAACTATAAACTCACCATGCTACTTCATGCACCTTGACAAAAAGCAAACTGGAAATAAAGTTGCTTTCAAATTAAGGTTTTTGGAATTCATACAAAAACCTCTGATTAATGTACAAAGTCAGCACAGAGCATCATGTACCCCAGCTCCAAGAGTAGATAGTGTGATAGTGATAGATACTGTACAATATAAAGCGCCTTGAGGTGACTGCTGTTGTGATTTGAAAATCTATCTAATTCAATTCAATTAATTGAAATTAATTGAATTGAATTAGATAGATTTTCTGTCACATGAATGTAGTGGCAAGCATGTTGAAGCCATGCTTAGTGATATGAATCCTGTAAAATGCCACTATTCATATGAATGGATATGTTCTAGAATGCCCAAGTTTGCTACTGTAAAGCACACAAAACGTGTAAAATTGCTCTTCTACAACCTCTCTGTCCTCCTTCTCTCCCTCCAGGCTTCTCATTTCTTCCTTGCACTGACAATCACACACAAATATATTGTATTCAACTAGAAAATAACAAAAAGATAATCATATAATAATTATTATGAGAGCAGGTTAGGAGTTCCACATTTCATAACAGTATAACACACTGCTTAGTTATGTGAAATCAATGAATGTGGAAATAAAAACAGAAGCTACGTCGACTTTATAATTTTTTATTGACTTTTTGCTCCTTGGTCTCTCCCTCTCTCTCCTCCTCTCTCAGTGTTTGTGCTGTCACCCAAAAATGAAACGTAACAGTGAAAGAGAATTTACAACTCAATAAAAGGCATAAACGGATCCATATCAATTTACTGCAATATACAGCTGCTGGCCATTGACATGTACTGCCTACTGACTTACTTTCGCCTGGAACTGGAGTTGTACTGTAAACATACAGTGAATCCTAATTTGCCCAGAATAGGAATAGAAATCTTTACCAAACTAAAATTATAAAATAAGTCGGCTGATTGGCTGATCACAAGCAACATAACACTATAGCTCTAACAGCTACAATGAGCTAATTAGGTCTGGTGATCTAGCTTACTTTAACTTTTTTAGGCTCTTTAGAGAACAAATAAAAATAAGGAGACATTTTGTAAGTCACAGCAGCATCCCTGTATGATCAGAACAGTTTACATTTCAGATAAAGCGCGTTTTAAATCTGCACTACTCATTTGTGTCATGAAATTACCTCTTCATCTTTCTGCCACAGCAATGCAAACCTGATGTATTAATGATGAGCCACTCTGTTGATGCAATGCCTCTATTTGAGTGCACTGTAACATCATGACATTAAGAACAGTGGGGATTAAAACCTTTTTCATTATAACCTGTAACATCTTCAATAGACAAGTTGGGAAAATACAATATTTGAAGACAATGTGAAAAAAAAATACTAAAATGCATTATTATTATAGTTATTTTAGGGAGGTTATGGGTTACCCTGAAATCTAGGGGTGCTTGAACACCCTCTAAAA